TTTTGATTTAAAAAAAAAAAAAAAAAAAAGAGACCAGTTTGGTAAAAATCCCTCTCTCCTTCTGCTGCTAAAAATTGTGCTTTGTGAAGAGCAACCACAAAAGAAAGTAAGTTTTTGGAAGTGCAAGCTGAAATAGAAGCAAGATTTCTGGAGAGATTTGAGAAATGGTTGGTGACTGTTAATCAAAATTGTGTGTGTGGGGGGGAACTTGCTTTCCCCACCCAAATTATAAAAATACTATTTAAAAAAAATCCATAAAAATTAGATTTCAACAAAAATTTGGGTTTCCACTAAACTTTACCAGATGAAAAGCAAAGTATTTCCCCATCTCTGCAAAGGCTGTATGCATACAGCCTACTTGTGATAGGGCCAGGTTTCTTCCTGATAACTGAGGCTGAGTATTCCCCTAAATCTGGGGCATTCTCTATGAAGTCAACTGGGTTGTTTGCAGGTTAAGATGCTAGGCAATAGACTGATATCATAATGTAGTCCTTAAAATAAGAAGTTATTTATTGGATCCTATGCCATAATCCTTTCTTCCTTTCTCTATTGCCATTGCTTGTGTCACAGACCTGTTCTAAAAAAGCACTTGTTGAGATGGAGCCAGTTTTATATAACAGGACACTGTGCCAAACAGCAATCAATCAGCACTGCTTTTAATAGCTGATGTCTGTATTAGCTTATCATGTCTTAGGCTTGATATTTAGGAACTAGAAAGCATTTCCTTATTTAACCAGTAGACTTGTGTGCACTGAGTTTTGGAACACAGTTACTTGAATTTTTGTGGCCACAGGATGCCAGTATTGAACTACATTACGCGGGCAAAAGAAAAAATATTCTCTTTAAGGTAGCCTGGATATATCTGAAGCTTTTTCTGTCAGCTGTGTTAGTATAGATGAATCTTCTAGTACTTTGGATAACACAGGATTCTCATGTCAGAAAGCAAGCCAGATGCTGGTCTGACACCTACAGACACAGTGCTGTTTCAGCTGGAAGAGTGACAGACACCACTCAGTGGGTGAAACAGCTTGTTCACGTTGCCTTTATTATTCCCATAATAACAACTGTAGTTCGAGATCACCAGTGCTGACAGCTTAGGGGTGAAGGGGAGGTGGGAGCCCACTCATTAAATAGTTATTTTTTGTTTTAGAATAAATAGTAAGCAATATCCTTGTAGTAAAAGAAATGATATTGGGTGCATCTACACGAGATGCTACTGCACAATGGTTACTGCACATTTATTTAGTACTTGTATTAGCAAGTACTAAATAAATGCGCAGTTACCTGACTTACTGCTCAGTAGTGCTAGCGAATATCTTTTAAGCACTGTCTGTGCTGTGATGTGCTACTGTGCAGTATTATTCAGTGGCTGCACAGTCAGTCTCTTGTGTAGACATACCCACTATGTAGGAGTTGATAGTGCTCCACTCTAAGAGAAAAGAGCATTTTTTTACATGCATGATAGAAGTTAATTTAAGATGTTATTCTGAGATCTAAGGCTGGGGCAAGGGGCAGGGAAAGTGATTCAGACAATTAGCCTGACTTCAGTAACATGCAAGGGCATCAGAAAAAAAATGATGAAAAGAATAAAGTTATGGAGGTAGATAGAAAAGACGAGAAAATGCAACATGGGTTTACCAAAGACAGATCATGCCAGACTAATCCAATAACCCTTTTTTGAAAAGGTAACTGATTTGCTAGATGTGGGAAAAATAGGGTCTAATGTATCTGGAGTCCTGTAAAACGTATGATATGGTGACACATGGGACACGGTACAGTTGGTGATTAGTATGACAGTTGTAAGGTAGAGGCTGGCTAAAGAAAAGATGGTACTGGATTGTGTCACAGGGGAAGTATTAGTTTGGAGGGAGGTTACTAGTGGACTCTCCGGGGGTCTTAGAATAATTTATTGTTAATGTTTTCCTTAATGGCCTTGGCTCACAAAATGGGTGCTCATTAAATGTGTTGCTAACACAGTGTTTGGAGGCATTCTTAATATAGAGGAACATCAGATTGAAGAGGCAGAACTATATGACTGTGAGGACTGGAGTAATAGAAATGGGATAAAATTCATTTGTACAATGTGCAAGGTTATGCACAAGGGGAATGACAAGGCGGAGTTCAGTTATAAGCTGATAGCTTTTTAGTTAGAGACAACAGAGGATGAGAAAGACCAAGATGTAGAAGTTGATGATGGTGGCAAAAAGCTGCCAACCTGATGCAGCCATAGAAAACAGTATATGTGTTTCAGGTGAGTTAGGTATTTACGCCATGTTCAAGAAATATAACTTGAACTGGAAAAGGTGTAGAGTTATTAGGATGATAAGGGCAAAGGAGACCTTGAAAATAATCTAAATAAAGTAAAAGATTTGTTTAGCATCACAAATGCTGAGAGAGAATGTACTACCTTTGTATCCAACAGGGAGTAAACATGAGGGTGGGAGAAGAATCCTTGAACTAAAGGACAATGCTAGCACAAGAACAAATAATGACCATGAACAAAAATATTATGGGAATTAGAAGATGTCTCTTTTCAGAGGAGTGATGCTCTGGAACAGCCTCAATATTGGAGTAGTAGGGGCAAAAATATTAACTGGCATTAAGGTGAAGCTTGATCAGTTTATAAAAGGATTAAATGCGTGGGTGTCTGCAGTAGCAGGTGACTGCACTAGATGACCCAGGAAGTCATTCCAGTCCAAAGTTCCTGAATTCTGTTTACCTAGAAAAATACATTTAGTTGATGTCCCACTGAAACTGTCATGAGTAGTGTACACTATGAGTATACAAGCATTCACTTAGTTTCTTCTGGGGAAACATGCCCTTTCCAGGAGAAAGATCTAGGTGTCCAACTGGAAACTCTCCTTTGCAAGAGAGAATATTTTGCAAGAGGGAATACTTAATACATTCCTTTCCAGTCTGGTCCAGGATGGTGCTGGAGCAGTGGGGCAAAGCCTCCTACCTGCTCTCCAGGCCAGAGCTCCCAGTCTGAGGAGTGGGTGGGGGGCTTTGCCCCTGGACTGGTCTGGGAGGGGAGCAGCAGCTTCTTCCTCAAACTGGGCTTAGGGCTTTACTCTGCTGCTACCTCTGTAACACTCTGAGACTGAGAGCTAAGGGGCTGCTCCCCACCTGGTCTTCAGACTGGAGTGACCCTGGTCCAGGGAAGGCTTAGGTGTTTTCCTCTTCTGCTTCACTCCCCTTGTCTGGTGAGGATGCACAGAGCAGGAGAGAGTGAGGAGCTGCAGGTTGAATGCCTGTATGCTCCCTCTCCCAGAAAGATATCTATTGTTAAAATTTTCTCAGGAATCAGGATATAGATATGCTATTCATATAACAACTCTTACTTTAACAGCCATTTCTAGACATCAGAGGGTGCCATTTGCTCATTCAGGATGTAGCAGTAATATGTGTTCACTTCATCTCTCCTCATTATCTTAATGAAGTTGGGCTTCATAGGAGATTTATGCTGTCACATACATGTTCTGTCACATGCATGTCCAGGAAATCACTGCTTCTGCTATAAGGTTTCCTTTCTCTTCCCAGCCTTTATTCTGTGGTTATAAATATCAGATCAGAGCTCCTGTATAGGCTGTTCATATGCTCAGTGACAGCTTATTTGAACTGAGCCCTGTACTGGAAGTGAAAAACGGGTTTTAAAGTGGATGCAATGATCAATTTTATTGCCAGAGGGCTGTAGGGGGGGTTGTGTACACAAGACCCAATATTTCCAGCCACTGTTAAGAATTAAATACTCTGACTATTTAATGCTTACAGCTTACTTCTTTAATCCAGGCTGCAGATCAAAGCATTTCTTGTGGAAAATCTTCCTACCCTAACCATAATATACATATCCACATGCATATACACACGCACATACACACAGAGGGAAAGTGCAGTATGGAAAGAATCAAGGGTGATTGATTATTTGATTATCCACAGTCTTGTGCCATGGACATACAAAACAGTTATACTGGTATGAAGTGGCAGTGAAGGGGATTTTCTGCATATCAGACTTATCTGTGTAGATATTTTGTGGTTTTTTTGTATTTATTTGGGAGCTGAACTGCAGTAATTTGCAATTAATTATTTTAATAATTTGCTCCTATTTGTGGTATAGTAATGTAATTAAGAGAGCCACAAAAATGGAAGGAACTTGTGCATTGATGGCTCTCATCTTTAACAGCACAAGTTATAAAACAGAATGTGATATTCCTTCTTGGTGTCACATCAGTAGTGAGGAGGTCTTACAAGTCCTTTCCTTTTCCTTTTTTTGCCTTTTTCTTCTTTCTTTTTCCTTGATAAGTGCATTTTAGCACAAAATATAGGTGACATTCACTATTTTGAACTCCTTTGGCCCTATATTTCAACATTAAAACTGGTTGTTTGAACTGAGCAGCTGGGCAGAGAATCACTTTCCCAAAGTATTGTTTAAGTTAAAAATATGGGTGCCCCTCTTCAATAGTCAGAGCGCTTCTGCACTTAAAATTGGAAACAGAGTCATTTTGGATCAGAGTTCAGCAAAATGAGGTTAGAAAAGATAACAAAGGTGGAATGCTTTTAATTAGACGTTATATGACGCTTTGACAGGTACATCTAAATGCTTCCATCAACACACATAATTGTGTGGTTCTACTGAGATGATCTTTCTGATTATTTCCCCACATCTCTAATTTTTTTTCCTTTTATCTTTGCAGACAGGATAACTTTGACATTGCAGATCATCCTGGAAGTTGTCCCAGCAGAAGATGACCAGAAATCATGATCTTTTATCTCTTGAAGAAACATGTGTTTGTCTATTGCCCCATTTAAACTTCAGGTGGGAGTGTGGGGCATGTCTCCACCCTTCCTAAAGTTCAGTGAATGACAGAATCAAACTACAGTTAAAGTAGCCTGAAAATGAAAGTTTCCAGGCCTGGACTTTTCAAATATTCCTAAGCCTTTGTGAAGTTAGTTTGTATGTAAAAAGTAGTTTGTTTTTTGCTACAATAAGAACAGAAAGCACAAGGTTCTTTTGGTTGTTGTACACATTTATTCCCTCTTAGAGATGGGAAATGAGAAGAAAGGATGAAAAAAATCTCATTAATGCTTCTCCTTTTAAATATGTTATTTAAGTAAATCCTTAGTACTTTAAATTGGGGGTTTTACTGCATTGTGAACAGACATTTCGGAAAAGTGTATTTATGTCAGATATATTAGGATGAATACATTGTACACTCTGTTCATGATGAACCTAACCTTTATTAATGAAAATGGTCAAATAGAACTATGTAGCAAAAGGCTTTGGTCAACATTATTCTTTCTCTCACTCCATTTTGTACCCATACCTGCCCTCTCTTCATCTCATGAGTAGTAGCAGTGCAACCAGAGCCATGGTGGTTTCAACTACTTTTGTGTGGTGGCTTGGTAGGACTCATTTGGATTAAGGAGAAGATAGTTCCATTTCTAGAGCTTGTAAAAATACAGAAAATTAGAATAGCTTCTGAGGCTTAATGTTGATTTTCTGTAAGAGAGGCACCAAAGTTTGCCTGGGATAGTAATTCCTTGCAGTTATAATTTCCCAGCAGTCCTGAAGTCATGACTGGTTCTATCAGAATTGCTTTTTATTTGTACAGGAAATATCTCAAGCTTAGGTAAATGCTTTCAAACTGTTAGATGTGCAATTATCATTATCACTCAGGCAAAACTCCCATTAATGTTTCCTATGACAGTTGGTTAGTAGAAGCAAGTGATAGGTACAGTATGGACTGTAGTTTTAGACCAAATGTAATATTTGTAGGTGAAAGGCAGACTACAGAAGGTTCAAGTTTCTGATGTGGATACAAAGATAAAATATGGGTAGTTTATTAAAATATATTGCAATGTTTTTTGGAATATCTAAGGCCTAAAATCAGGTGTTTCTACAAAACTTTTTTCCTAGTTTCCATCTCCAGTGAAACTGAAATTTGAAGGAATAAACAAAAATGTGGGGAAGAGAATGAACAACACAGCCTGTTTTGATGTTGAAAAAGTTTTACCTTCAGTTTATGGTTTGGATTAAGCTATGGCTGAGTTGTGACATAGTTTTGTCCTCTCCTATTAATAATACTTTGGTAATTGACACTGAAATATTTCAAGTGCCAAAAGAGTGGTTCTGTATTTTAAGATTGTTCCAATCTTAGGGTAAGGGTAAGTTTTTACTCTTATTATGTTAAATATGTATTGCTTAAATATTTAATACACTACCTGGAAAATTATTGCCTATTCAGAAGATCACACTACTTTAAAACCTTTGTTACAAATGAATAAAAATTGAAGGATGTCCTACCACTGTGCAAACCACTATAAGGAATACTGTCAACCTGACACAAATTCAATTTTAAAAACAGCATAGGCCAGATCCTATTCTATTTATTAGGCACCTGTGTTGGCTTAGGCATCTCAATGTCATTCTGTTCTACCCTGCTTGAATCTAAAAAGCAGTTAGTGCCAATCATAGATGGATCCTCCTGATTGCTGCTTTTTTGATTTAGTCTTAAAACTAAGCTGACGGCATTCTACAAAAGTAGGCATGTTACGGTATTTTTTTCAGGAACTTGACTATCATGAAATATGTGTACACTCATTAACTTAAGGACACTTAGGTAGAATAAGATTTGGCCCAATGATTTTAAAATTCCTTCACAACCTGCGTATCTTTGAGTTCTCCTGCCTGTTCGTGGGTTTACATTCGTTTGCTGTTTGTAATTATCTTCCTCTCATGTTTCTATGCAAAAGACCCACCAAAATATGAAGTAATGTAACGCTGTTAAAAAGTTAAAATTTATAAGGGTTACAAAGTTTCTTTTAGTAATCACTTTTCACTGGCATCAATTTCACAGAAGCAGTTACTTTGTCCTAAGAGAAATCCTATGATTCATTAATTGTGCAATTGTATATTTTAGGAGCAGGAAAATAATTTGCAAAATAACTTAATGTGATTTTAAAAATGTACTGGGGGGCTTATGATTTTAATTAATGATTCAATTTAATGAATTTATACAATGTTGATGGAAGAAATATTTAAATGGGATTTTCACTGACTTGTAATACAGCCAAACTAGGGACATTTATTAGGCTCTGAAGTATGAAGTCTGATGCAAAAGAGCGCAGGCATTGGGTCCTGTAAAATGCAATGCTGCTGTTGATCTTTTCTGAAGTGCCATCTTCAGCTACTTAAGTCACAGTCCCCTAAAACATTATATTTAGGGCAAGACAATGGGACTACTGTTGTGTGTAAGGATTTCCAGGTTCAGGACGTCAAACTTTTAAATTCTTTTTTGACCCTCATATCCCTTTTTTGACTATCTCTAATTGGGAAGTATTGCTTCATCCTCTCTGAATGTGTTGGTCTTTTCAGAGCTGGTCCTTGTACAGGCAGACCTCCTGCTGAAGTAATGGGAATAACATTTTTATCTAACTAGAGATGTCAGATGAAACTCTATTTCTCTTAGATAAACAGCACAGAACTCAGAGGCCAAGAACAGGGACCCAGGGAGCATTAATCCACCTTTGTCCTCTTTCTGTTCTAGACCACTTCGTATTGGCTCTGCGCAACATTGTGCGCTCTCAGTAGCAAGTCTAAATCATGGCAGTCTGTGCAGAAATGCTTTCCAGGATTTCCATAATGCTATAGGAGCCTGGCCTGCTGCTGGTATGCCTTTCTCATCATAAGCAACTACCCCCTTCTCTCTGATCTTGGCTGAACAGGTAGAATGGGTATACAAGACCCTGAAGCTGCTGTCCTGCACTAGAGCCTTTTCCTTTGCCTGGATCCAAGGCTTTTATATCCCCATATTCTGCTGCAGTTTGAAGAAGCTAGAATGGGTGTGAGAGAGAGAATCTCTCCCTTCAAGAACACACTCCTCAGGGCCTGACTGTCCAAGTACAGCTCTATCAGATTAGAACTTCAGTGCTTCATTCAAAGATTTGCACTTGCTTTACGCAGGCATAAATGAGGTAAAGGAGGTGATTGATAGCTGCAACACCCCAAACTGTTATGGTTCCTGTAATGGTTTGTTACACGCTAACCAGTGGGCACAGAGTGTGGTGTCAAATACAGATATTTGTATATGATTACTTACTGCCTAGGGATAATACACTGTCTAGCTTTCCAGTCAGGGTCAGAGCCCAATTGTACAATGCTTTGCACAAACACATAACTTAATGTCAATCCCTATGCCAGACAGGTTAGAGTTTAAGCATACTAGTGTATATCACTGGTGTTTAGGTACTAAGATGCTAAGGTCCATATACAGTAAATTCCTAAACCAGTGGTCCTTTTTAGACTCGAGGCACCCCTCATTGGACTTGAGGCATCCCTCTATGCCTTTTGTGAATTAATCAGCGTCCATTTCAAAAACAGATTTACACCCTTGAGAAGTTCTCACAGCATCACGGTTGCAATGTACTGTCCTATGCAGACATAGTAGACATGACTGTCAACTTTGAAAATTAATAAAGACTCCTAGTACAGGATAGAGAGTATAGAGCTTGGGACCAACCCTTTTGGCAGGTGTGCTCCAAATTAGCCCTGCACCCTCCCTGAGTGCTACTCTGGTCATCTTCCTCTACCTAATCTGTTCTACTTTTGCTTTCTGTGCTGCGCTTCCTGCGTGATATCCTGCTCTGCTTTCTGCTTCCTGCCCTATCTGCTGTTGTGCTGTCTGCCCCCCTGATCTGCCACATGCGACAGACAGGCTGCCTGTGCCACTTGTGACACCCTTGGTATAGAGGATGAAAAAAACTTGGGGCTTGCTGGCAATCTTGTTATTTTTATCAAAAATTTGAAGTCTGTAGTTTAAATTCAATTATGTTTTTCCCATATTCAAAACCAGTTCCAGCATACATGTATTCAACCTCCAAAGTCACACCTAGATCTTTATTAGAAAGCAGTGAATGTTTATAAATGTTGTCTGTTAAGAATTGTTTTTGCTACATTTTGAGAATTTCTAAAGTAAACTTAAAACCTATTTTCTATATTTTTCAAACACTTACTTTCTATTATGCAACCCAAATCCTGACTGGAGTATATTTTACATATAGGTGCAGTTTTAAAAGCATATCATGTGTACTGTAAATGTATATGTATATGTGTGCATATATATTTTCATGGTTCATACATTCAAATACTATTTTAATGAATAGACTTTTATATTGCAATAAGGCTACCAGAAAAAGGAAACTAATTCTATGCTATATTTCTGTGTATATTTTTGTATGATTTTTTAATGTTCTTGTGTACAAATATCTCTTTGTTTTTACTTTAATTTGTAGGTGTCACATACTGGTTTTTGCTACCAGTACATAATAACAAAAAAATGCATAATCTGATCTAATGTTGTTGGGATCTATACTTCAGAAATAACTTTCAAACCATGCATTAAATGACTACTGTCCCTATAAAAAGGGATTTGTAAGTATTTCCATTTAAACACCATTGTAACCTTGAACTTGACCTGGCATTTTAAATCTGTAATTAGCCCACAGGAATTTGTATATATCAATTTACTGAATGTTTTGACTTAAAAGTGCCTATAATTAAAAATAAATATCAAAATATATAAAAAATGGAAACAAATTAGATGACCCTTTCCTTATAATGTTCTCTTTTTTTGAAGAACCTTAGACAAGCTTAAGATTTTTGAACATTTCAATATGTTATTAACATGTTTCATTTTAAAAAATGGAATTTTGGAATTAAAAAAGAAAATATGAAAAAATGATCTTTGCCCACTCCTTTGAACAAGTTCTAATGCATTTTTTATTTCAACAACAAGCAAACAACAAACAAACAAAAAACAAACAAACAATAAACCAAACCATTTTGACTGGTTGCATATCCAAACAAAAATCTGCCTCCATTTTAATCATGAATTTGTATTATTATCTTCAAGGAGGGCATATTTACACTTGTACTTTGCTGAGCAGTAGATTAATTTACTTTGCAGTACAGCACCACCATCTACACACGCACAGCAATTAGGCTGGTGTAGACTAATTTACTGCACCATCAGATAGTTCCATCAGACATGAGTACAATTCGATGGTGCAGTAAATTACTGCACTTAAAAGTACATGTAGATGGTGACAGGGCTGGCTGAGGCATGAGAGGGCTTCAGAGTGGAGCTAGTTGGCAGGCAGCCCACATACTGAAACACTCTTGTGTTTCAGCCAGCCCTCTGCTGCATGTGGAGCCCTGTTGGAGCATCTCTAGGTTGGTAGGCTGACCCTTTGGGCCCCTGCCAGACTAGGCTGCTCCCACTGGGCTCCATGTACTGTGCACAAATAAACTCCAGAGCTAATTGTTCCAGAGTGTTTTGCTCCTGGGTGCACATTCAATTGGCACACCTGGGAGCAAAAAACTCCAGAGCAATAAATTCTGGAGTTTACTCAGGCACATTAATTGTACATGTAGATGCACCTGGAGAGATGTGAAACTACTTATATTCACAACGTTAGGAGTTTAATTTTCATAATATTTTAATGCAGCAAAATGGAAGGGGGCCTTTGCCTTCTATCTAATAACCCCATAATTCCTAATCAAGCATCTGCCATTATATCAGGATCTAGCCAAGTTTTGATCAATAAGCAGACATTAGAATTAAAATATTTTGTAACTTGTGCTAAGTATACATTAAACTTTTTATATTTAGTGGTCTGTACTAACTGAAGCATATGGGAATGGGTAGGAATAGAGATTTAATCCTGTTTAGTTCCTTTAATTAGAAGTGACTAGAGCAGCCCATTGAGAACAAGAACTGAGCACCAGAGGAATCTTCTTCCATTATAAAGTGAATGAATTAACATTAACATATATAAAAAATCAGGCTGATTTTACCAAACATAGGAGGTTCCCTTTAGGAATTGTGGTGCTTGAAGGGCTTAAATCTAATGAAGACAGGGCCATTTACATTTAGGATGGATGTTAAACACAACCAGGATTCACAGTCAGTAAGATGGGCTCAACAGAAGTGATACGTGGCATGCAGCAACTACACAACAAGAGAGTATAAATGAACTAAAAATGAAGCATTGTATTTCCTGCTGAAGATGCCTTTCTGTCTATGACAGTGCCAATGTCAAGGGAACACAACTGCCAAACATAGGCCATTTACATGCTAACTCACCAGGCCATAATGGCATATGTACAGGCTTCCTGGAAAAGCATAACTTGTGAGCTACAGATAGATTATTTGGTAGTCACAAAGTTGCTGTGTGCTGTCCTAGTTGTCTTAAAACAGGTTTTGGTCCCAAGGGAGACAGAAACACATGAAAACACATTAAAAAGAGTTTATCATAAGAAAGAAGCAGGAACGAACTCCAGCACTGACATGGGCTAGTAGGGCAGTCTGGGATAATAGACAAGACATGATCAAAATGAAACCTCACTGTGTTGTTCAGTGGCTGTTGGCACTGGGGACACTGTCAAGCCCATTTTTGATTATCTAAGAAAAAGGTGCATCTTAGATGGGGCTGTTTATTTCCTAGCAAAGAAATAGCATGTGTAAAACCATATGGTATATAGTTTATTTTATATAGCAGTTTCTGTTACAGCTTGGCCTGAGCAGTTTTATCAGTTTAGGTTTGTATGCTGTTAGCTTGTTATTGTACTTAGATTCAACTAAAGAACTCTTACTAAGTGATTTGTTGGTGCAAATGAGGCTGCACTATTGTCAGTGTTGTTATTACATGGAACATGGGTTAACACCACTCATAGGTGACTCGTAAATGGTGCACAAGGGGTGCACATGCCCCCCATGAAAGGGCCAGTGCTCCCCTGATGGCTGACACTGATGCTGTTGGTAGGGCTGGTGCCCCCCCGACAAGGCCACCACTGTTGGCAGCTTCTGCGGGTGCCCCCCCAGATTCAGGTGGTACCAGTTGCTCATGGTGCCACTTATGTTGCTGCCCATCCTTTTCACTCAGTAGTTAACACATGCCCTCAAAAGCTTGTCTGAAACTGAGCCCAGTAATTTAGGTTTGCTGGGTTTGCCTTTCTTTTCAATCTTTTCTGGTTGCTGGGGAAGGACTGTATGTTAGGAAG